GCTACCAGAGCTCCCTAATCAAGGAATAAACTGCCACATTTCCTTACAACATCTCCATTGTCAAGAACCATGTTTGAATGGCCCTGTAAAACTGGCTGCTTTTCCCTATCTGAGTTGAGATGTCTATGGAATGGATGTGATGGGGATCCCCCTTCCTGCCGGTGCTCCCTCTCCTCACATGGAGCCAAGGATGTGGGTGGGATTGAGTGTATAAAAGAGAGTGTATGTCTGATTGAACTCTATGCTATCTTTGTCACTTGGGAGAGCATAAGTATGAATGTATGGGAGTGACTGTGATTGTGATTGAATGTATGTAAGTGTGTTAATATATGACTTGTGTTCACATGCATGAGTGTGGGAATGTGTGAGTGTGAGTGTGTGAGTATGTGAGTGTGTGTATGCATTTGAGTGTGTGAATGTGGGAATGTGCTTTATTGTGAATGTATGAATGTGAGAGTGAGTGTTGGAGTGAGTATGAGTGCAAATGTGACTGTGACTGAGTGTGTGTGTCATAACAACAGAATCATTGAGGAGATAGTGATTAAAGCTAAAACTCATTCATCTTACAGAGGTGTAAAGATGTCTTTCCATATTCAGTTTTTCCACACCAAATATATAGTACCCTGGTTTTGTGTTCTAAAAGGCATGTGGGCAACAAAGAGTCTCCTTTTACATAATCAAATAATCTTCTACCAAAACACACTTTCAATATTCACTGATGCTGGCATTATTTCAGACTTTTTTTTTTTTTTAACCATAATCAAGTGGCCAGTGGGGGAGTATTGGTAAGGCAAACATCCACAGTTTACCAAGAATAAGGATCTTACATCTTACCTTTAATTTAGAAAGCTGTCATTTAAGTTGTGGCATGTGGCAATAATGTTCATTTAAAATAAGGCAGAAGTTGCTCTAGGCACGAAGGAACCTGTGAAGAAACCTCTCAGAGTCACCCACTACTGGATGCCAGCACCTCAACCTTTTATCCGCTCAGTGCCTTTTT